CACCAAGGAGAAAGAGAAGAAGAGCACCCCGCCTGCCAAGGACAAAGGCACCAAGGAGAAAGAGAAGAAGAATTGTGACTCTCCAGCTGAGCTTCCAGAGGACCATGAAACTGACTCGACTGACTCGGAGGAGTATCACAAAAGGGAAGTCGCAGCAAGGGTGAAACGAGAAGCCCACGCGAGATATATGCGCTTCTCTCGATCTTTGACCAGTATCTCGATACAATTTCAGGTACAGGGTGGACATGTCAACGCTTGATCAGGTATTGGGACACCCCCATTCAAAAACACACCATAGCTGCGATAGCTGTTAACCTGTTGGGATGTTCAATGTGGAAGGCAGCATTAATTTGCTATGTGATTTGTTTAGTGTCTTGGAAATGCGAAGTGTGTCCTTTAGATGTTTAGATTGCTCAAGGAGCCTGGGATTGCTCATGCTGAAATGCGATTCTTATGTCTGGCTTGATGTTTGCTATGGCCCCTAGCCAAGGCCCGCGTACGCCCCCAGAGGTTCAGCGTGCAGGCCGTGCGGCCTTCCGCAACGTTCCGATGCTCCAGGTGCTCCAAGAGCAATGGACCGCCTGTAGCGGCGTCTGGACTGAATCAGCCTTTTATTTAGAGGTTAAACAGAAGCGTCGAAACCGTACATACGGATCACGACGCTGGATGTGCCGAAGTGAACTAGCCAGCAAGTTTGGCAGCTTGGAAGTAGCCCAGCAAATTATAGATGCGAAGATGGCCGACCCGGAAGCGCGTGTCAGTCAGATTCGCGCGAATCCGGACCTGCACGGTCTTGACACCGACGATTCTTGGTGAAATCAACATCTATTATGATTGGGAACACCTCCAATCTCTTAGAGCAGCTTTTGTGGTTGAAGGGTATTCTTCATTACTTGGAGCTCTATGTGTATATTTTTGTTGCCATTGGCGACCCAAAAGTTAGATCATTTGGAAGGAGTGCCTGTTCATGTTTAGACACTATGGTTTGGAGCATATGATTGGATTGGGGTTAAGGCACACCCATCTGCCACAAATGTCTATGTTCACCAGCAATTGCTCAGGAGACCCGGCAATATCTGGTCTGGGATCGTGAAGGCGAAGAAACCACGGTAGACCATGTCACCACTTCGCTCTTCGAGGCCGCGGACAAGGATGAAGGTGCAGAGAGGGGGAGAGGTAGGTCAAAGTCAAAGACCAAAGGCAAGAGATCAAGGAAGGCAAAGCAGGGTAAGAAAGGTAAAGTGAAGAAGAGAAAGCATTCATCATCCTCCAGTGTCAGTATCTCCAGTGACTCCAGCAGCTCCAGCAAGTCATCCGGTTCATCATCAGCAGCATCAGCCAAGGCGCATATTCGAGCCGTCTATATACTCAGAATCATGTGCGTATATTGATAGTAAGTGTCAGGCCATATGCATGTACATATGTCCATGCCACGCCTGCTGCCGAACAAAGCATGTCTTTTCCAGCTCACACTCGCCCCATGACAGGAGCCTGCAAAGAAGAAAAGCAAAAGACTCAAGAAGACGAAGCAGGATCGCAGAAAGAAGTCGAAGTCAAAGTCGGCAGACCGTGAGACTGAAGAGCAAAGAAAGAAAAGAGAAGAGAAGGAAGCGGCTGCAGAGAAAAAGAGGCTGGAAAAGGAGCAAGAAAAGCAAAGAAAAGAAGAAGATAAGAAAAAGAATGAGGCGTTCAGGAAAGAGCTACGGAAGGGAACTCAGGCTAGGTGGTGCCAATGGCTTTCTGGGTGAACGTTCATTCGATTTGTCAATCAATATCCTTCCTTCCTCCATCCACCACCCATCCCTCCTGCAGGCCCAAACCAAGCTCAGCGATAAGATCTCGACGGCCACCACTCTTGATGACAAACTTCGCAATCTGTTCCTTGGCTTCATGCGTTCTGTGAGCCGTGAGCCTGTGGGCTTGGGTCCAGCTGGATCAAGTCATCAAGTCTTCTTATGTCTAATGTTGTATCCTTTTCATGCCCAATGGACAATATATGTCGTGTATATGTTGCAATAGTTGCATCTTAGTGCAGTCACCGCATGTCTCATGTCGAACAAATGCCCCATATTGGCCATCTTCAATCCACTGATTTGTTGACACCCTACCCAAAATCTCTCTCTCTCTCAAACGGCGGGTTGCATGACCGGGCCAAGGGGTGCATCTGTGGTGACAGCAATCCTCGCCGAAGTCAAACCCCATATCGCTTCCATGAAGAAGTCACGCGACGCTTTGCAAAAGTCTCTGGATTCAGCGAAGGTGCGGCTTGAATCAAGGGTCGTGTCCATAGAATGCCATATCGATCCTAGGTTATTCTCAATGTGACTATGGTGCATCTTTCCCTACCCCTGGGCCCTAAACTGTACATTGGTTGTTTTTACCCAGAATTGCTGTCTTTGACTGGAGGCAGACAACCTGGGCTCACTACTTGCTGATGTTGAGAAGAGCAATGACATCATGGCCAAGTTCACTCAGTTTCTTGCGGCATACCGCATTAAGTGAGCGGGTGGCTGTGTGATCGCACAGCCTATAGGACTTGGGCCGTTGGACATGTGCATCATTCAAGTGCCCAGCGAACGTCTTTGCAAACGTTTGTTGTATTCACATGATGAAGTGAATATGTTCACCTTGTTGTGCCAATGATCACTTGATCAATCTTCAACAAAGGCCAGGGATTGTGGTTTGGTTCAGGGAATATGGTGGGCACGTTTTGAACATACTGGATGCACCAGGGCTATGGTTGACCCTCAACCTTTGGGGTACTGAATGGTCAACAACCCTAGCTTGCAGTGAGAATGAACCGCAGGCTGGGCTAGATGTTCGACCAACTTAGGGACAAAATGGAGTTTGGTGACATGCTGACGCCTGTCCGTCCGTGAAAGAAAACCAGCGCAGTGCGGATTGGAAACAAATGTGTTTCTCTGAATTCAATCCCCAAAGTTTGGGATTAGAAAAAACCTCGCACTGTTGACGTCATTGTTTCCTCCATCTGGAGGTGCAGCTGATCCTGGCGAGCCAGTCGCCCTTTTTGGCCACTATGATGATGTGGCATCTGGTGTGCTTTGGCTTACAATAATTCAACTTGCACCTGTCCCCCAACCATGAAAAAGTTACCGCTCCACAACTAAATTTGAGAGTGGACCGGACTCATCCTGCCATCTCTCCGCAGTCCCTGTTTCTAAAATAGCCAGGCATCTTCTGTTGGGAGGGCCATGCAGCGGATCAGAAATCAAATCGCAGTTCCTCAGATGCAATCGTGGGCGATCGTGGGCAGGCCTCTGGTGGCTGGACTGTTCAACGAGCGTTTGATATGTTGATATGTTTTTTAATGCAAATGTTGAGGTTGTTGTATGAGAAACGCATTTACACATGTGTCTACCCAAACATGGGATGCAGTATCAAGATGTCATATTTAATGGGTATAATAGCAAGTTGTGAAGTCGAACATGCTTCACAGCATGTGTCCTCTGTTGATGTTCTTCAAAGTGTACTACGGGAACCATGTGATATGTTACTTATTAACTTATTACGGTCAAATCTATGTTGTTCGTCGCCCAGGAAACTGGAGATGCTTCTCATCCTGAGACTCTTCGACTTGGGTCTGGGTCATCCTCTGGCCACAATGATGTTCGAGACTTTTGGCGTAAGTCTGACATACCGGTTGTATCTTGGCTATAGGGTGGAGTGGTGGGACGGGGGGCGCTTAACAACATCTACAGTCACACTTTTTTAATATAGAAATGTTAAGGATGGGCGCCAATGAGAACAACCAGTGCGGTTCACCCATGGTGAAAAAACGCAACCTCGGTTCTCGATGAACAATTTGTCCAATTAAAGGTTTGGAAAGCGGGTTCCAAGGGATGGATATCTAAACAACAACCATAGAAACCTTGTAAAGTTTTTGTATATCATGTGTCTTTGATAGATATTAGTCCCCTGATCATTTCAAGTCCTAACCCGAGTACCAGTCAAGGCAATCCATAACATCAAGGTGCCCGTGAAAGATGAGAAAGCTGCGCGTGGCATCAGCTTTGAAATCTTTCCCATCATTCACCCTCATGAGGTTTTATCTTATTTGTGGGACCATGTGGGCCTTCGTGTGTCGCCAGAGGAAGTTGCCAAGTATTGGCAGCATGCCAGACAATTCAATCAGCAGTGGGCCACGTTGGCCTCCGCTTCTGACAGACACATCCCAATTGGCTTGCACGGAGACGCTGCCAGGCTTTGGACGCAGGTGAGGTTCGAGAAGGTTATTGCGATACACTTGAACGTGTGCCATTTCCGCCCCAGGAGCATCAGGCATTCACGTTTTCTCCTGTTCAGCTGCCCCTATGAGAAACTATATAAGAACCGTACACTCAATCAGGTGTTTCGTCGCATCACCTGGAGCCTGGAGGCTGCTTTTGACGGCATGAATCCACAGACGGGTGTGGGCGGAAAGGCGTTGTCTTTGCACGATCAGAAACGATCTCAGCAGCCACTGACACGCTGCGGTGCAAGGTTCGCTTTATGCGAGCTAAGGGGGGACTGGGAGTGGCATGTTTTCCTTTGGAGGCCCCGCGCCTCTTGGCAAAGCAATGTAATTTGCTTCCGCTGCCCTTGCCTAGCAAAGGGGCCTGACACAAGCAAGCTATATTACAACTCCGGCGATGATTGCAGCTGGGAATCTGAGGAGTTCACGCTACAGGAATTCGTAGTTCACCGTCTTAAAGAGACAAACTTGTGTGCCTTCTCTCGATTTTGGTAACGATATTTCTTTGGGTGTCAAGGTTGTTTTTAATGTATTTGTCCAAGTGCCTTTGACGGAGTGGGCATGAATGTCGACACAAGGTCCACTGTTGAACCTGCGGATGTTTCAGCACCCATCGCTCCTGCGTTGGTGCACCATGCACACGCTGAATCTTGGTATGGTCTTCTCTGCCAACGGTGGGAGTTTGATTCTCAACTATCTTAGCCTTATGTCATCTTGTGTCTTGTATGTGGTTTCATTGTGTTTCGTTTGTGATCCCTGCAAGCCATCAGTGGGCTTATTTGCACTGTGTGTTGGCCCAGTGATAAAATCAGGATTTTGTTGACTGAAGAGCTCCAATACTTCGGGCCTGGGAATTTCAAGGATCAGTTAGAACGCGCATACAAGCACTTTGTAGCTTTCTGCAGAAGCCATCGCATCAAACAGTCCCAGCCACCATTTCTTCCCAAAATGGACACTTGGAAGTTGGAAGCAAGTTTCTCTTGGTAGTTTGCACGGTGCACACTATCAATTTCTTGAAGCCCCCAAAACATCCTAAAACCTTTTGGGGCTGGAGTTTGCCACGCCTTGTTCTATCCTTGTACTTTGCTCTTTGCTGACAAAGGTGAAGAAGAAAACTGGAGAGATGCTACTGACCGCAAAGGCGTACAATGGCAGGGTCATTGTAATGTGGTTGACACACTGCTTGCTGGATGCTGTGCGGCGCTTTCCAGAGCATGAGATCCTTTTGATGACCAGTGTGGCAATGAACCTTGTTTGAAAAATGACCCAACTCAAGTTATCTCTTGGAGAAAACGTATCCCATATAGAAACAGCCCAAAGCAGCAGTCATTGCCTATGCAACTAGAAACCTAGCAAAAACATCACGCTATCCTGGCCAAAAACAAGATGTGCCAAGGAGCGCTTTGGCCAAATTCTTTTCGATGATGGAGGCCAACGGACGCCATTTGACGCATGGCGGAAAAGTGTTGTTGCATGTGCGTCGTCTTGTGCTATACTGTCCAAGCCGTACACTGTAGATTCCACCCCTAAGGACACAACATGCTGCAAATACCCTGCATGACAGTGGAATGCAGTTCTTGGAGATGTATCGGGCGCTATGTGTGGAACACATAAGGTGGGGGTGGCCTGGGGTTCAATGTCCAACTCCTCGGCCCTTTATAAGGTCTGTTTCGAGGTTCCAGGTGCTTACTGTAGTAAACTACTAGTGCAGTTGTGCTAGATCTAGGTGTGTGGTGAGAATGTTGGTTGATGGTCCTCTACAAGTTTGCAGGCTCCAGCGAAGCATGTGGCTGATGAAACCAAAATTTCATGCCACCTGTCTCAATTCAGACACACATGTAAATGCATGCTGCACATGTTATACATTTGGCACATTTGGTCCTTGACATCCGCTGGTGTCCATGTGAGATGTGAAAGATTGAAGTTCCAAGGTGATGATTCATATTTGCAAAGATTGCAAACGATACAGCTCCTTCATAGCAGTCCAATGCTGCATGTGTGTGAATATCAGGTACTACGCAAGCGTGTGAGTGTGAATGCTGTGCTGTGTTTTGTGCGTCGTATCCGTGTACACTCTAAGGGTGCAATCCCAGATTCTGGCATACATATGCAGACGAAGATTCGATGCGATGGGTAAAGAGTTGCTTGGATCACAGGCCTTAAGTGGGCCCCATCATGCCCCACCCAAACAGGTTTGAGAGTGTATACAGCTGAGTTTGTCAGTCAAAGCCAAAGACGGCCAAGGTATTGCAGCTCGTGCTCACCCCAAGACGCGTCACATGTGGCTTTTGCGATGCGCAAAGTTGAGGCCCCTTGATTTTTGTGTGCTTAGCTAGCTGGTTTTGTATTGAATTTACTGTTCACATCCAGGCTGCTTTCGATGAAGCATTGCTTATCACGAAAGAGGAGCCTTGGATTTAATAGAGAAGACTTTCATACCCAGCTAAGAATCTAAGATTCACATGGGTTCGCATGAAGAATCATGCAGAACAAACATAATGAAACCTTTGCTTCAGGACATGCGAGCAAAGAAGACGCTGAACCTTTGGCAGCCCTTGGCCGCCATGCTCTTGCTACAAAAGAAAAGGTGTTGATCGTGAAAGGGCGTGATTGACAAAAGACTGTTTAGACTATGGGTGAAACCGTCTTTGTTCTAAAGACTGTTGTTAAAATAGCTTTTGGAGTCCTAGGGTATATATATATATCATATCAATATCTATCTATCACATTATCTACATTATCTATCATCTATCTATCTATCTATCTATCTATCACTATCTATCTATCTATCTATCCATCTATCTATCTATATGTCCATCTATCTATCTATCTGTCTATCTACCTATCTATTTATCTATCTACCTGCCTACCTATCTATCTATCTATCATGTTAAATCTATCTATCTATCCATCCATCCATCTTTATCTATATTTATCTATCTTTATCTATCAGTATCAATCAATCAATCAAGCAATGAATCGATCAATCAGTCAATCAATCACATCTAGCGCCAAATCAAATCGATCTAACGTATCTATCTGTCAGTCCATCCATCTATCTGTCTATCTATTGAATCAATACCTATCTATACCTATCTACTTTTTTTCCGCCGTGGGCACTAAAGTGTCCGTAGGCCCACGATGCGTCAGCTTTCAAAATTTCCGCGCGAGAGCCATCTGATACATTTTTTGGTGTTGCCTTTCCGTGTTTTCATACTCCGTCCGTTCGTCCGACTCGGACCTCCAAGCCTCCTCTTGCCAATGGGAAAAACCGCTTGCAGAACTGGGCGCATCAGTGACTGGTCTTAATGGGTCACCATTATGAGTTCGTCCAGCTACTGCAGCTCATCTCTTTGAGGAGGTCCGAAAACAACTGGATTTGTTGTCCATGTGTGTTCAAAAGCAGTTCTCAAGACAAACTCATTGGTGTTTCGATTGACAAAAGTGGTCTCCAGTCCCAAAATCGATCTCAGGCCACGAAGGTGAAATGCATGTGTTCTTTTTAACATGCTTTGGGTGAGGTGAACGGTTTCCAACCCATAATACCTATCTACTATCTACATCTATCTACAGTATTTATGTATTTATCTATCAAACCATACCATCCATCGCCAGCAGCCTTTGTGTTGGGTAACACTCAATAGGGCTCTCTATGGTGTCCGTTGGGCACTGCAGTTCACACGTTTTCCGCAAGAACCGGTCCATCATGTTCCTGGCTTCTCCGGTTGTTCAATCCAAATGGGGGGGGTTGCTCAAAAGTCTACAACAGGTGGAATGAGAACTTCTTGGAGCTGGCGACCCTCTTTTGGTTCCACTGGCTACCATGGTGACTACATCACTACGCCGCACGAGCGAGTGCGGGAGACGTTCTGAAGAGGCACAGCTTCTCGTCATCTCGTCCACTCTTGGGGGCTTTCCTCAGGTGCCATCAGCGGATCACACTTCGCATCGCACCGCCCCTCCCAACAGGAGAAGAATCACCGACTGCGACTGGAAGATGTACCCCCTCTTGGTGGGACAACACCGAGAGAAACGAGAGAATCTACTAGGTTGGAGGCCGTGCTCGTAGGGGGGAGGCCATTGCTATCAGGTCAGGTTGGAGGCCACCATTCTGAGGTTGGAGGCCATCGCCATCGCTCTTAGGAGGAGGCATATTTTTTTAGTATTAGGTGGGTGGAAACTACACCCCGACAGAAACACCCTAGAGGGTCTTAACACCACCTCTTAGGGTCTTCACACCACCTGTTGGAAGGACCCGTTGGAAGGTCTTAGGTTGCCATTGCCAATCCAATTGATGTTTTTAACGAACGATTCGAGATGATGCTTCCAACTGGGCGATGTCCGCCCGTTTTCCCACGTGGCTCCAAACCTATTTGATCAAAGGCAAATCTCATCGGAGTCGTGGGGTGCCACAATGATGATCCACTTAGAAGTGAGCGCAAGGAAAAATGACTCAATGCAGTGAGTGCGCTCTGGACTCGACACCTCAATACGTGCATGATCGTGCATGAAAATGCAATGAGGTGTTTAATGGCCAACGGAACTTCCAGGCTTCATTTTAGAACACCAATGCCGAAGGTCTGCTCTTTTCCAAAGTTCTGCTTCCTGCTCCTATCATATATTGGCATCTCTGGGCCGGCGCTCGGAGCTCGCTAATGAGCGATCGATTCGATCTCCAAACAGCGCTTTCTTCGTCTTCACCATCGCTCATCAGAAGTCCAGGATGTCTACATTGATGCAACAAAATCGATGCGCATGCCACCATAGCCATGAATTGCATCAGAAGCTCGAGCCGAGCAATCTCTCTCGGACTGAGGACAAAGATCATACATGCCTAATATTATCTAATATTGGCAACGTATGCTTCACGTTGTTCGGCATCCAAATCCTGCCACACCACGAGGAATCCTCCGGTACCTTGTCGTGGTACGTACCAGTGGTCGCCGCATCCGAGGCGGCCGACCGCCGTCGGCAGGCGACTGGGTTGCGGCGCATGGGGCGACTGCGACGCGGAAGAGCTTCAACAAGATCAAAACAGTGAGCGATGGAACTGGTGACCTGGGGGCAACACTGCTGCTGGTGATGCTTCAAAATGTAAATGACATGTAATCAAGGAGATGAAGATGCAAACCCTATAGCCTTCCAGACCTGATAGCATCACAAAACATCGTCTTAAACACGCTTTAGGTCCGGTCCGATGTCTCCGAGGTCCCGAGACCACCGGAGCTTTCCATGGCAAAACTCGTGTCGTCTCGGACCTTCTCGACTCCGTCCGGACCGGACCGTCCGGACCTGCTCGGTCCCAGGCCCCCGGGAACCCCGAAGAGTACGTCCCAGTGACTTGGACTTGCGCCGTGGCTTGTCTTCGCCTTTGGGGGGGGCGGAGAGATCCGGAGAGGAACAGAAGCCCTACACCGCACCTGTCGTCGTACCGAAACGAAACGGTTCCGTACCGGACCCCACCCGGGGCCCCGGTCGTCCGAACCGAAGCGGTTCGGTACGACCTGGAGCCGATGGCCCCTCCGAAGGGTCGCACCGGCTGAACCGGGTTTACATGAGTTTGGATGGATGACCGGGCTGTCTGGGACCGGCTTTTTAAGACCCAAGCTCGAACAGGGGGGGCTCCAAAGCATGTGAAACTGCTACATTGTTCCCGTTTGGACTTCGAAAGGGTTCATATCCACCTGATCTATATTGTGTGTGTGGGTCCAACTTTTCCTATGTTTGGCGTACTGTGGGACTATGAGTTCATGTTCACCTCAGCTGAGATATGCGTGGTGGATCCTGAGTGGTCAAGTCTCCCGGAGGATGGAGAGAGTGCCAGGCTCGATTTTAAACTCGGCCTGGTGATCAAGATGTTGTGAAGAATGGCTTAAAAAGCAACAACACCTGAAACTGACATAGAACCTGGACAAGCTCGATAGAGACCTTTCATGATTCTACCTTCAAGCTCTACACTGTTTTGCTAAAAAGTGCCTCTAGGGTTTCTCAATATTTCTGGATCATGGATGATCATGGTGTTCAGTCTCCGCCCAGGTCGGTGGTTCAGTCTCAGCTCCATCTCCGGAGGCCACGTGTTGAACACAAATGAACTTGCCCTAGGGCTCCAACCATATCCTCAGAAGGTATTTGGATCCTCCAAACCCACTCCAACCACCTTCTAAGGTGCTAGGAGCCCCGGGGCTTGTGCTCCCAGCACAAGAGTTCATCCGAACATCTGCTTTCTCGCACTGCTTGCGGTGCTTCTTCCACCCTACC